GAATCCATTTTCTTAAAATGGACAATCATTTCTGATGAGCAAGTGATTTGACCATATTTGGCCTCTACTATATGCACATCATACTGGCCTAGCAGCAGTCTGCCCGTAGTCTGAAATTTCTTACCTGTTGGGTAAGAACACTCACAGTATTCTGTGTCATTTCAGTGATATATGAGGTACGTTCTATGAAATATGTCTTCTAGGGTTTTCTTTTTTGTTTTTTTTTTTTGAGACAGAGTCTCACTCTGTTGCCCGGGTTAGAGTGCCATGGCATCAGCCTAGCTCACAGCAACCTCACACTCTTGGGCTCAAGCAATCCTTCTTCTAGGGTTTTTGTTTGTTTCTTTTTAAAACCCAACTTTTCAAATGTCAAGAACTTCCTTTGTCTATTAGCAAGAGGCAATTGAAGCAAATAAAAGAGTTTTAGCATTAGAATCTTTAATCTTACACCATGAATTTACAATAGTCTATTTGGAGGCTTAAAAACCAAGATTTCTACTACTTGTCCTCAGCCAGCGGCTCCTGTGGGCAGCTTTTGTAGAATGCTCTCACCACCATCTCTGTGGTGGTAAGAAGTGAAAGGAGAAGAAGGAATTTGGGAAAGTGGGAAAGTACCAAGTGCTGAATATTATCAAATATTATCCTCTTAAAAACATGCATAAAACTGCTACACCTCAAGATGTATTCAACACATAGTGCTGCGAATCTGCATTAATTTCCGGGCTTTTTTTACTGACTGAATCTTATAGACAAATGTAGACAAAGCAGAAGGATGAGGGTGAGATTTCACTTGGCTCTCCCTTCGGTCATGTCTAGTTACTCAGAAGGCGTTGGGATCCTATTTATTTTTCTGCTACTTACGCCATGCCAGGGCTGTTGCAGGTAACAGGGCTATTAATGGATTTGCCTGACTAATAGACAAGACACTCATGTAATGAACACCTCAGATGCAGCCTGTTGCCCTGAGTTCTCCAACTACATTCTCTTATACAGCCAGAAATTCTGCTGAGCTGTCACCAGACAAACAACACAGTTGGGCAGCTGGGCCACCCCAAGCATGGAGGTTTGTGTTCGGGGCTGTATCACTGTGTGAGGAAGCTTTGTACCTTGAGTGCAGTAATACACTCCCACATCCTCAGCCTCCACCCTGCTGATTTTCAGTGTGAAATCTGTCCCTGACCCACTGCCACTGAACCTGTCTGAGACCCCTGTGTCCCGGTTAGAAATTTTATAAATCAGGCGTTTTGGAGGTTGGCCTGGCTTCTGCAGGTACCAACTCAAATAGGTGTTTCCATTGCTATGCAGGATGCTCTCACTAGCCCTGCAGGAGATGGAGGCCGGCTCTCCAGGGGTGACAGGCAAGGACAGGGGAGTCTGGGTCATCACAACATCACCACTGGATCCTGAAATAAGAAGAGAGAAGTGCAAGGTTATATACAAACATTAGAGGCATATACATAATTTGCTTTTTTAAAATTTTATTTCAGTATATTATTAGGATTAAAATGTTAAGGTTACGTATATTGTCGATGCCCCCCCCCCGCACTCCCCTCGAGTCAGAGCTTCAAGCGTGACCATCCCCCAAATATAATCTGCTTTTGATAATTATTTCAGGCTAAATTTTTTGTTGGTTCTAGGGGATGAATCATATTCCCCAAATATACAGTTTTACAAAAGAATGGAGATTTTCAAAGCCCAAAGGAGCCTATAGAATTCCTATACACTGTTGCCCTCTTTTTGTGTCAAAGTGTTCACCAGAGCACAGGTCCTTGTTCTTTCTGGAATTTTCCTCACTCTCTCAGATGTAAATCTCACCTGGCCCATCCAGGAGGACAAGACGTGCACATCTAACACATGCACAGAGCACACGTGGCAGGCAGTGGGGCCCCATGGCTCACTCTCCCACCCCATCCTCCTTCCTCATCTCCTTCTGTCCTTACCAGGGACCCAGAGCACCAGCAGCCCCAGGAGCTGAGCAGGGAGCCTCATTTTGAGAAGTTGCACTGAGGAGTCCTGGTCAGTCCAGGCCAGGTTAGGCATGAGCTTTATCTCAGACTCACAAGGGAAGGCCCTCCCTAGGGGACAGTATGCAAATGCCCTGGTGGGTGCAGTGGAGTGGATGGGAACAACAGGTTGGTGGGAGTCTCTCTTGTTTGGATGAAAATAATACAGAGAAATTCCATGCTGTCTAAGTAGGATAAGGGATTTTAATGTTTCTTTGTTGTTTCTTTTCTATTTTTGAGGCCTTTGTTCCATCTGAATGATTCAAGTTACTGTCTGCTATAATATAACAAGATTCTGAAGGATTTCTTTTTGAATTAATTTTACAGCATATCTGCTAGTCATGGCGTACTTTCTTTTTTCTTTCTGAAGGATAGTTTAGCTTAAGATAAAATTCCTTGGGATGGTTTTATTTTGTGAGCAGTTTAAATAACTTTCAAATTAATATTAATCGTATACTATTAATTTACAATTCATATTTGAATTTCACTTAGGTTTACACAAATGTCTTTTTTTATGTTTTGGAGTAAAATTCCAGGATTCCATACTACATTTAGTTTCCATGTTTCCTTCATTTCCTCCAACCTGTGATAGTTCTTTAGTTTTTATTTGTTTTTCAATTTTTTGAAACTTTTGAGTTATACTGGCCAGTTTTTTGTCAAATGACCCTCTAATAAAATTTATTTGATGTTTTTCACTGATTAGATTCAAATGTTTCATTTTTGTCAAGAATATTATGGAAGGGATTTCTCATCTGTGCATGGTATCAGAAATTATAATATGTAATATCAACATGTCATTTATTTTTTTTGTTTCAATGAATTTTAATTTTAGATGTATATTTGAAATCCATTCGTTCATTATTTTGTACACAGCATTGTTTTGCACAAACTTCCAATTTCAACATATCATTTATGGTGATGATAAATGAATATGACTAATAAAAACTTTTATTGGGAAATCTTTATCAAAGTTAATCAAGGCAGTTTGATCACTCTTAATATGTGGTTATATGCAGAGTTTGTCAGGAATAGGCTATTCCTGTCTGCTACAGTTTGAATGTTTGTGTCCTTCTGAAATTCATGTTGAGCCTTAAACCCTAAGGTGATGGTAATAGATGTAGTGCCCCCTGGGTAGTGAGTGCATCAGGAGGGCTCTGCCCCCATGTGTGAGATTGATGCCCTCATGCACAAGGCTCAGAGCACTGCCTGCTCCTTCCACCTCTTCTGCAACATGAGGACACAACGCTCACTTTGTCTCCTTTGTGCCCTCCCTCCTTCTAACGTGTGGGGGCACAGAAACAAAATTTCATCTTGAACTCACAGAGAGCCAAGCTCATTAGACACTGCATCTGCTGGTGTCTTGATCTTGGACCTCCAAGATCCAGAACTCAACACCTGTGAGAAATAATTTTTTTTTTGTTGATAAGTTTCCCAGTCTGTGGCATTTAGTTACAGCAGCACAAGTGAACAGAGACACTGTCTGACTCTGACCTTTTCCCCCCAATAGTTATCTCTACCTAAAACCTGTTGCCAAATAGAGAACATTGAAGAAGTAAATGAAGATCACTGAAATGAATGTGTCTATCATGACCATTTACCATTGGAATGTTGATATCCTGGAGAAAGGAAAAGAGGGCTGGGAGTTATTAAGCATGGTCACGTCCACCATTACATAAGTATTGTGAAATCAATTGTTTGCACAAATGAATAGCATTATCTGCCCCTTAGAATGATTCAGAAATAGAGTGGAGATGTACAGAATTCTCTGACTACTTCTGACTTGGGAGGCTCAGATACTGTTGGTGCCATGCTGAGATCCACAATTTGGGACATGGTTTCCTAGAATGAGAAATTCTGGTGCCTCAGCTGAAGAATAGGTGACTACATTGACCTGGTATTTGTTTTTCAAAATATGATTTTCCAAGTTTTCCTTTAATGATTTGAGTAATCAATGGGATTGTGTGTTGATTGCTATGACAGGTAAAACATTAGGAGAGGGTAG